AAGTTACAATAAATGAGACCACTGAGATTATTTGAAGATTTGGTGATGAAAATCACATTCAGATAATATGAAAGGTTATTCATGAATAAATCATGAATTGTGAATCCATGAATGTTGATAAATATTAATCAACGAAGGCGATAATCTTGAATAGTATCTCCATGTAATCTGATAATCAAGGTTATCTTTAATAATCAAATGCAATTTATGAGTAACAAATTAAAGGTTCATGAGATGAAGATAAATTGTTCACCATGTAATTGGAAATAAATACCTGAAGAATAAAATCTTATTAATATGATGCTAATTATAGATAATTATCTAAACTCCGACGATTTCATAATAACGTTGAAGGCTTAGTAAACTCAATTGTGATCAAAACAAAGCATAAATCAATCAAGTAAATTAATTGAATATAATGAATGATTAAAGGGGAAAACAAGATCGATTGACAATTAAGACTGGTGATGGTTAATAAGGTTCAGTTGGTGGCAAGTGAATTGGTTAAGTTATCGAGTTAAAAATTAATCAAATAAAAACACACCAATGGAGCAAATAGTTAACACGTTAATACGTTAATAGTTATTAGATTAGAAGACATGAAATAATAATCAAAAAGCATGATGATGATGAGATTTGACAATCGATTATAAAGAGACAATAATCAATAGAGAAACAAAAACAAATCAATTGTTTCCTTGTTTTGCCAAATCGGAAATTGTATTGATCGTCATCGTCTTCATGATTATTAGTTGACATTAGGCAACAGGTAAAAGATTAAGATAATGATGAAGGAGCAGATAAAAGATGAGAGAACGAGATACTTTTGTCTCTCTCTCTCCCTCAGGGGTGATAATTGTGCTCAAGTGACAGATAATATTGTACATGGTGTTTATGTTTAGCAAATTAGCAACTTTGTTGATCAGTTGATTGTGCTTAGGAAATGGGCCAGTTGGTGACGATACAGAGAGAAGTCAAATTGTCACACTTGAATTATTGTGACAATAACTATCAATTGACTGATGGGTCGTAATTATTATTACAAATACAATCAATTCTCTTTCTTTTTCTTCTCTCTCACTTTACATGATCGCCATCTTATTTTTTATCTTCCATCTAAAGGGTAAGTAAGGTGATAATTTTTTTCGCCTAAATGAGTCCGGAAGAATATCTTCTCTCTCTCTCTCTTCCAATGAATTTTAACTTTGTTGATGATAATGTGATCAGTGTAACGTTCAGTTGAAGATAGAAAATGAATATTTTTTCATTTTCTTTCTTTTTCTCTTTCTATTTCTCCTCTTTCCATGGTACAAATGCCTTGAAGGATTCCAACTGTGCACCATTAGTCGCAAAAAATTTTCTGCCCCGATTGTTTTCATCTCTCTTTTTCTCTTTCTTTTGGATGAGCATCTTCTTACTTATTGATAACTTGTTGAATTAGATTGATTTGGTGGCCAACCGAGCATCATCATCATCATCATAAACTCATTTGAATAATCATTCATCCTCATTGAAAATTAACTTTTTTCTCATAAAACAAAATCCAATTGTTCTACTGAGCTACAGAATGGACAATGTCCGTTCGTTTGAATAATTAGAGTTCACATCGATCGGTTCGATGACAACGACATACCAAAAGAAAAGTACGAATGTCCTCTTGATCTTAGTACCAAAAACTTCTTCGTGAATTTGCAAAGGTAATGCGTTGGTCGAAGGTGAAGAGTAAAGGTATTCGATTTCTGTGTGGTTAATGTGAGTTCCAAACTTTTATTTAATTGTGTTGATTAGAAATCTAATTAGTTGGATTTTCTTAGACGAAATGGCTGAAGGAGAGGGAGAGACATTAATTATATTTGTTTTCTTCCTTATTGTTGGTCAAACATCAATAAATTAATTTCACGATCGAATGGTCTTCATTCATTAGATGAGTTTTTTCATTTTCTTTTCATTATCACATCATGAGGCGAATTGAGGTTTCCTGTTGAAATAATTCAAGAGTTATATTAATAACTTGAGACTCAAGCTCGTTGTCGGTCATTTTCAGGGACAGAGGTTCGATCTACATCAACTACCGATGACCAAAGTAAATTGTTTCGAAATATTTGCCAAGCGACTGAACAACTAATTAGAATTAACAAATTAGATTCAGCTGATTCTCTCACAGTTCTGTATCAACAGCTGATCTCTTTTTAATTATGTGAAAATTTGACAAGTTCACATGATGAGTAGACTTTTTGTTTTCTCTAATCAGTAATTTTCTTACATGGAAGTAATTAATATGATGACAATTTTCTAATTAATCAGAAAGAAGCTCGATGTTGATTCGATTCGTAAAACTATTAATCTCGTCGAATGTTAAGAATGAAAAAAGATCAATTTTCTGTACCAAATCGTCATTTCCGTGTCTGTGTTCAGTTTAAACCGTCGGTGGAATCATGAGAATTGTAAATTGTCCGTTAAATTGTTTCCAATAGATTAGATTGTACAATGTACGATGTTAAAGTAACAAGGGGATCGTTAAATTGTTATCATTACCATTACAATTATCTTTATTATTATTGTTATGATTACGCGACCTGTTGATGATCAATTGCCAACACCAAGGGGTGAGAAGTTGAATGCACAGATATGAACATATATTGTCTAATATAAATTATTTTCCCTTTAGAAGGATCAAGACAAAACCACAATTAAATTTAATCCAGTTCTGCTTTTGTTACCAGACTATTGTTCCATGTAATTTAATTTGTTTCTCTCAACTACAAGTCTCAAAAAGGAAAAGAATCAAAGATTCACTTGAGATACTTGGATTTTCTTAATCATCATTATCTACAATTATAATCACAGTGGTAATCAGCTTAATGATCATGTTAACTGATGAAAAGATGATGATATCTCCTAATATTTTCACCAAAGTTAAATAAGTAAATCAATCAAGAGATAGTAACAATTTGCCATCAATTTGTGATCATTTGTATTACCAGAAGTCAAAGAGACACAAATACATTGTTTCCTTAAAGTTACAAATCAATTAAGTTAATTTACTAATACAAATTAACTCAACTAAATCTAACACCAGGCTCAGCTATTTAACACTAATCTAATTGTGCACAAGGAAAATGGTTCATCGACAATTTTATTACAATAATTACAATTAAGTTGATGTTTTGTCTGTTGAAAAAAGTGATTCCAATTAGGAATCAGTTTTTACTTCATAATCTATTGATTGTTGCATATTTTTCATTGATTCAGAGCTGAATCTGTTCATGTGACCCTGATATGGGTGACAGATCAACCAGTCATATAATATTATCAATGATTGCGTATCCTTAATCAGTGTACAAATTAATCGGAAGCAATCATCTCAATCATAATCATCTTTTAATTTGGGACATCTTTTTTTTGATGGAAAAAACTTAGAATTGATCACTGATTTTAAACCAATCAACTGATTGTTTCAATTTTGTTAATTAACTTTACTGATGTTTTAATTACTCTTTTTTCAAATAAAGTGATTCTCATTTCACCAAATTCAGTCCAAACTGTGACTTCAATCGAGCGGATTTACGGACTAACTTGTCTTGTTGATTAATTGTTTAGTAATTACTATAATTTGATGGATAATTAATGGAATGATTTTCAAATTAATGGAAGACAATTAAATTTTGATTGATTCGAAAGAGAGAAACCAAAATTCTGACCAATAATCAATCAAGATTAACGGATTTCAATTCAATAACAGTCTAACCCTCGATGAGGATTTTGGTTAAAACAATAAAAGCATAAAGATCTTAATTGTTAGTAGTAAATTAATGACGCAATTGAAATACTATTAATACAATCTTATTAATAATCGACACTAGAACATCTAATTATCTGCAACGGCGATTCAATGGATCAATTTGATTAAAAATTTCAATTATCATTTAATCAAATGCAAGTCGAAGATTATTCAAACTTCAATTGATGTAAATGCAAATGATTATGAAAATTTATTGACTGATTTCAATTGAAATTTATAAATTGTCTCCCACTGTTAACAATTAAGAACCTACAACAGGCGGATAAATTGATTTGATTTCAATTGTTTGATTAAAAATTTCAATTATCATTTAATCAAATGCAAGTCGAAGATTTTTCAACAATTGATGTAAATGCAAAGCTCAAAAAGCTCAAATTAAACATTGATTTGATTGAAAAATGAACAAATTTGAGATAGAATCGCGAAAATCATGAGCGACTAAAATTGGTGCAATTAACTGGTACAAGCAATTAATCAAAACGAAATCACCTCTAAATTAAAATCCATCAAAAAAACAATATTTCATTTAGTTCTGATCAATAGACCATTTGATAAACAAAATGACCTGAAAATCAACAAACGGACTTGGAAATGTAAAAGTGACCTAATGAAACAGTTAAGACAGATTATCAATGTACTGTGGTAATAATAATGTAATTAACTGATTGTCTGTTTTCAATTGTTATCAACTATGTTATGGTTAACTTGGCACTCTTTTGACAAGGTCAGTGCATTGATTTGTTCATTGTTTAATCAACAATCAGATGTGATGTATCACAAATATATTGAGCCCAAGAAACAATAGTAACCACAACATTTTACCTGCGATTTGTTTGATTTACCTCATTTATTATTTACTAACAATGACAATTAAAACAACTTTCTAATTTGGTCAAATCATTGATTGTAAACTAGTTTTTAATTACCAATCATTCAAGTTATTGATAATTTAAGATGATTTTGTGTTCGGCAATCAATGTTACAGTTAAGTAGACACAAAGTTTAATTGGAACATTTTTAATTAATTATTAAGTTTTTATGTTTACATACAATTGAATTAAATTTGATCGATTTTCTTTTTTTTCCAGTAAATCAATTTGATTGAATTTTTAAGGGTTGAGTTAAACTCATAGGAAAAGATGATTTTTATGATTGATCGAACTTCGTTAATTGTTGAAAAAGGTTTCTCTCATCTTAATCATTCGATAAGGTCACTTTTATTATTTAATTTAAATTCTGCACTAAAAAAACGTGATAACCGTTAGTTTTAATACAGATAATTGTCTTAGACTTTCAGTAGATTAATTTTTAGAAATTGACTTTGAGCTAATCCTTCAAGACTGGAAAGCTCCTTGACAACTGAAGCTAATTGATCAACGTGAGTTTTGTAATTTATTCCTCCGCCGGTGGATCGTTTTTCACCATAGACAACTTTTCCATCGAATTCGTTAACTTCCAGTTTAAATTCAGGTCCAATTGTTGAAATTGTACAGCCCAAACTCTCTTCGATTTCACCTAAAAGCTATTTGAATACATGATAAAACTCTTATAATTAATTTGCCTAAATTTTATCGTCAACTTGAGTCTATTACCTGTAATTCATTATACCAGATACAACAACCGCCGTCTTGCGTTAAATTTGTATTAAAACAATTTTTTCCTCTACTAGCACAATTAGAATGGAACCAAACTTTTTCAGGTACAGAAGCAACAAGGCTTACAGCAAGACCCATTCTCTCAGCTCGGCCAACTCGACCTATTCTATGGACATAATTAGCTTTTTCGTCAGGGAGAGTTACTTGAATCACGAATGGAATACCTGAATAAAAGAAATGAATAAGTTTAGATTCGTATTTAGCTTTTTAATTGCAATCAATTCACCTCTTATATCGATACCACGAGCGGCTACATCTGTACATATTAAAAATTTCACTTCGGCTTTTTTGAACTTTTCTAAATTGGCCTTACGCTCCTGAGGTTTTCGATCACCGTGTAGACACACACATGAATATTTTTTATTCTGACGAGAACCTGAATCGAAAATAGAAAAATCATTAAAACAATTATTTCTAATCAATGAATATTCAATAAATACACTTACCTCCTCCTAAATCATTTAGGTGGTTTTCCAAATTATCACAATCAAGTTTAGTTCGACAGAATATAATTGCTTGGTCTATTTTGAGAGCATCAATCGCTTTAACAGTGTATTCACCTGGTAAATTACGTACATGAAAGATAAAATATTGAATGTTTTTCTAATTGTTTTCTTTTAAACATTACCTTTGAGTATTTTGATCGCTTCACTTAAAGTATCAGCATTTGGCTGATTGGGATTAATCTTGTCTTTGGCATGAACAGCGTCAGTGGTGATTGTTTTTTTCAATCGTTTCCAAAGATCGTCTTTTCTGGGATCGATTTGGAAAACGACATGATGAACAGTCTCTGGTACAGAATCTTCGCCCTGAAACAAGAAGATCGAATTAATATCTATGTTCTGGTGATGAACATGGAGGTTTCGCAAGTAAAATTCACCTTTAAATCGACCCAAGTTGGAAAGAACATCAATTTCTCTGCGAGTTTCTTTACATCGAAATTATGTAAAGTTGCTGAACAAACAATCATCTGAAGTCTTTTACCATCATCAAACATTCTGGGAATTTGCGCATGAAGACGATTAATTATGTCGGTATGACCTTGTTGTAGGAGACCATCGACTTCATCAAGGATGAAAAATCTATGAAATGAGATGAAATGTGAAAACTCGAGGCTTGGGTTCAATTTAATGAAAACGAAATTACCTGCATTGTTTTAGACTCAGAGCATTATTGAAAACTAAATCTTCTAACCTTCCGGGAGTAGCGACAACAATGTCAACTCCCTGACGAATCTGATCAATCTGTTCTTTGGCATTACCTCCACCGATAATTAACAATAGTCTCAAGTCTCCTGGAAGATATTTTTTGAACGATTCTAAACATTTAAACGTTTGTTCAGCCAATTCTCTACTTGGTTCAATAATTACTGCCCTTGGGCCTGATCCTTTGGACTTATCATCGTTTGATGAACTGATATTGGTATTGTTTACGAATTGAGATTTGGGTGCTTTGGAGACCCATGTAGTCCCAGGAGGTGCATCAGTTTTGCCTAAATTACCAAGATAAAAGATCAGGTCAGTTTCTCATCAAAGGATTATATCGCTAAAATATTCTTACCATCAGCTGCTTTTTCAAATCGTACAGTGACCATTGCATTTTTTGTACATACACAAGGATAAAATGCCTGATTGACAAGGTTTTTGGGAATTTGAAAAGCTTCACCGAGGTATTCGCCGTTTTTGGTCCAAGCGATTGTTTCGCCGGCAAAATCTATTATATTCCCTATGACATCACCTCGATCACCAAAAGTTTTTCCATAGCTTTCAAAATTCCGTGAGTTACTTTTTTTAGCAGTTCCACCGAAGCCGAAACCGAGCTTATCTGTTCCTAAATCAAGAGACGCATTACTAAGAGCCCAACCAACACGAGCTAATCCCGGTTCTTTGAAATAGACTTCATAATAGAATTTGTTGTTTTTAGATTTTGCATCTCTGACAACACCGCGATTTGATCGAACTCCTTGCCATTGCTTAGCATCTTTACTTTGACAACTGAGTCCGTCGTTACTAACGACAAGATTTTCAGACCGATCTTTAAATGCCAACAACCATTTATCTATAGTTTGATTAGACGATTTACCTCTGTCTTTATCTGAGAATTAGAAATCGTGAATATAATTAGTCAATCGGAAATTATTGTGACCCAGTTTCTTCATCTATGGTGCATGAATCATCTTTTCACTGAAATTGATTCTCACCATTTAATGTCTCCCAAACAATTTGTAAAACTGGTAAACAGAAAGCACCCGTTTTACCAGATCCCGTTTCGGCTGCCATAAGAACATCACCTCCGCCTAAAATCAAAGGAATCGCTTCAGCTTGAATGTCGGTCGGTAAACTAAAAGCAAAAGAATAAAAGTAATTAGAAAGACGAGCTGACGAAAGCAAAATCCAATAGAAATTCTATCCAACGTGTGATTGTAACATTTCCACCAAGAGGACAATAATTTCTCCACTAATTACCTCCACTCCATTTCTTCCACAGCTTTGCCAATCTCGGGAAAAATGCCCATTTCTGCATAGAAAAGAGATGGAATTAAACAGGAATGACCAAAGACCAGAAGATGTTTACTTACCTTCGAATGCAGCCATTTTCTGTAATTCTCTCTGTCTAATTGTCACTTGAAGATTAGAAGAGGAAATCAAATTCTATGTTAACCAAACGAGTGACAAATTGGTTTGCAAATCAGGAAAGAGAAAAATTGATGATAAACAGAAGATAAAAAGGTTGAATAGGTCCAATTAGAAGATTATAATAGTTTATTTTGAAATTAAAAGATTCGCATAATGCTTAAAGATGTTAGAGTGAACAACACAATCAAAATAATTAATTGAATTTAAATGTCAAAGAATAATTTGTCGATAGAAAGTTAATTAAAGTATAAATGAGCCACAGAATTAGAAATTTGAATCAATGATGAACCGATTCGAGTCAATTAATCGAAGATTTTTATCTGAATAGATCGCAATAGAAACGATTGTAGACAGGGAGAAAGACAGAGACAAAAGAAAGAGAACAAAAATTCATGCATGGAGATCGATAAAGATCTGGATTGATCGATCTTGAAATAATCGATGATCGAACATCAATACTGTTTGTTTACGACGAAAATTTAAGCTGAAGCTGCAGCTTGTTCTTGAGCTTGTTTAGCCAGAAAAGCCGCTGTTCTGGCGGCCTTTTTTCTCATCTGAGCCGCTTTTCTTTTCGCTGTTTTAACGGCGTTAGTTCGTTCTCGTTCTTGTCGTATTTTATCGAGCCTTTCTTCTTCTTCCCTCTTTTCTTTTTCTCGTTTTTCACGTTCGATTCTCTCTTTTTCTGCTCTCGCCTCCATAATTGGAGCCATTTCTCTTTCCTTTTGTCTTTCGAAAGTGTCCTGGACTAATCTTTCTCTGATTTTCTTTTTCTGGGCTGGTGGTAAATTCTGGTAGTGGAAAGTATTTTCTCCATGAGCACTGGTCACTTCGGTGCTTGGTGCTTCTAATCCTGGAGCCACATAGTTAACTTTGACTGGGGCTGTGTTCCATTCGGAGTCCCAATCATCAGTTGACGTTTGTTGGTGAGATGGACCAGCGATGTTCATGCCTCCCATTAGTCCAGCTAATTGTTCAGAAACTTGAGGCTTTTTGGAATCAATACTATCCCATTCTTCTTGTTCCCTTTTTTTGTTTTCTGCAGCAGCTGAATTGTAGTCTGGACAAGTCTTCAAATGATGAGCATAAAGTTCCGGTTCAATTCGATGAAGACTATTGAAAGGACAAATTTCCAGTTTTTTAGTCGATTTCTGTGCACATTTAGCAACATGAACACTGAAGCCTTTCGGTTTAACTTTATGGTTCAAGTCATAGGGACAAATCATCAAGAGAGGTTCGGGTGGAATATAAGTCGCCATCACTGAGAAGCCAAAAGCCTCAAATGCACAATAAAATCAAACAAGAAAAACGAAAAACCAAATTTCTTAAAAAAGGGTAAGATGAAGGTGATGTAAGTTTGTAGGAAATTACGAAGAAACTGATAAAATTGAGATGGTCGTTTAAAAGAAACTTTGGACAGAAAATGTAAGAAACGAACAAGTTCAATGATTGAACTTCAATCCCCAAGTGAATTTAATCAACTAAAATATTTAATTAACCAAAAGGAGATCCAAACGAGCGACATCTCTTGGGATGCGAAGGTAAGAAGTAGTTACGATTGGTTAACAAGAGTAACCATCGAGTGAATCTAATCAGTCATCGTTTGGATTTACGAGGTAATTGAGTCGATTGTTGAGTGAACATCGATCAATCGTATCAATGGAAACTCATTTCTCTGTTTGTTCATTAAGAGAAAACAAAACAAAATAAATTACAAGTGAATCATTTTGTTTATTTGTTCTTTCATTCTAATCCCATGGCTCATCCATCTCGTGGGGCTTTGATTGTGATCGAGGGAATTGATCGAGTTGGCAAATCTACTCTCTGTCAATCATTAATCGCCCTTTTGACCTCGGAAAATGCAAGTGTCGAGCTGATCCGTTTTCCGTCTCGTTCAACTAATATCGGCAAATTCATCGACAATCACCTTAAACCAGGAGGCGATTTGCTCAATGACCAAACTGTTCATTTGCTGTTTTCCGCTAATCGTTGGGAAATGAAAGAATCGATGCTGAATAAACTTCTCGCTGGAAAAACTTTAATTGTCGATAGATATTCTTACTCTGGTGTGGCCTATTCTGCTGCTAAAAAGGTAATTTTATTTTATTTTCGTTATTTTAATTTGTTTGCTTCTTTTATAACCTTGTGATCTTTTCAAAGAGATTTAAACATTTATTAGTCTGAAGAGTCAACATGTGATTTAAAGCTTCTTTTGTGCTTTTTTATGCTTCCAAGAAAAGAGCTAAAGTGTTTCTATTATTTATATTTTCCATAGAAATTGTCCCTTGATTGGTGCAAAGCTCCGGAAAAGGGCTCATTAAACCAGATTTGGTTATTTATCTGTCTGCCGACGCTGAAGTGATCGCTAAAAGGCCAGGATTTGGGGATGAAATTTATGAGAAAAAAAGTTTCCAAATAGAAGTCGCTTCTGTGTATGAACAATTGAAAGATAAAGATTGGAAAGTAAGTGACCGATTTGATTTAAGCTTTTAATTGATTTTATTGATTCATTTTGTTTTTTTCTTAATCGGATCTTAGTTGATCGATGCCAATCAAAGACCTGAGGAAGTTCTTGCCATTGCCATTGGAGAGATTAAAAAAACCATGGAAAATGCTACTGAAAAGCCAATCGCTCAACTTTGGGAGTAATCAAACTAATTCATTATAAAAATATTTATTTGAGTTGAAATGTAAGACAATTTTTGTAACAATCAGAAAACTTTCAATTGATTTGAATTCAATTAAAGTTTTATTTTTGTAAACTTGCTGATCGCAAACGATAAATTCTATTCTTCTTCATTAGTCACTTGATTTTCATTCTCTTGCGCTTGTTTAGCGAAAAAAGCGGCCCGTTTTCGAGCTTTTTCCTTCTCTTTTGCCGCTTTCTTTTTGGCTTCTTTTTCTTTCTTTATCTTCTCTCTTTCTTGTTTTTCTTTTTCTAATTTCTCTTGTTCCTCTTTCTTTTCTTTTTCTCGTTTCTCTTTCATTTCTTGTTGTCTTTTTTCGGCTTCAGCTTCAGAGATTTTCTCAGCTCTGGTCTTCGTTCGGTTTACCAATTTGTCGTTGAAATTTCGTCTTTCTGCTGGAGTCATTAGTTGATATCGGAAAGCATTTCCTCCATATGCAGTTTGTACATATTTCTTTGAGTGTTCCAAACCAGGGACAGTATAACCCGACGGAGTACGTTCAAGATTCCAACTCGGATCAAGAATCTCTGGTTCCTTTTCTTCAACTTTCTCAGCTTGTGGTGGATCTTGTTGACCGAGTCCAATAGCTCCCATTCGTCCAGCCAATTCAGCGACTTCGGAAACCTTTTTATTGGTCACTTTCTTCTCATCCAACATTTCCCATTCAGTTTTTCTCTTTGCACCATCTCAAGAATATCATTCGATGCAAAGTTACACTCGACAATATGAGCTGCCATCAATTCACTTGGAATTCTATGTGAGGAAGAGAAAGGACAAATTTCGAGTTTTATAGTAGATTTTTGGGCACATTTGATCAAATGGATATCAAATCGTCTCGGGGCAACTCTATGGTCCGGATTATAAGGACATGTCATTAGTAATTCTTTACCACCTTTGAAGGTTGCCATTGGTGTTGTTCGAGTAGGTCCGATAATCTACCAAAGAAGATCAAAAGAGAGAAAGAGAGTAAACAATTATTAGAATAATAAAAACAGATAAAACGATGTTCAATGAATCAATTAGATCATGAAACTAATTCACTGAACAAAAAAACAATAACAATGGGATTCAAGTCGCGACTCACCGAGTAAAAGTCAGAGGTAAAAGGTTAAAACTAAAAATGAGTTGAAGAGATTGTCAGTAGTTGGAATAATTGTTGCAGGAAAAATCGATGAATTTTGTTTAATCACTTGATGATAATATCCAAGATTAAATTGTTTCAATTAATTTAAACCATTAAAATGAATCATTTTAAATGATTTACTTTTATAAAGATCAGAAAGTAATCGGATCGCCATCTGTTAATTGGAATGGGAAACACGAGAAAAAGCTAATCACTAATTAAATTGTCAACAAGTAAATCAATCAATCAGATTGACTCTCGATTTGAATTAAACTGGTGCGTCAATTTATTGACTAATTGTTCAATGTACTAGATCTTCATGCCATTGATTGTTGTTTATCTTCGAGTACTTTGTTAGTCTTTTTGGTTCATTGTTTTTTTATTGAATCTTTTTGTTTACGTTGGTAAGTGAAATTGTCTCTTGATAATTTTAATTGCTTGTTTGACTCTTGACAAGTGCTAATTGTTATTCTGTTTTCCTTTATCTTTTTTAGCACGACAATGGCTACTTTCTTGTTTGATGGAGATGAGCTTCGAGAGTGTCCATACAACCCTAACCATCGTGTTCTATCAAAGCGATTACTCTCTCATATGGGTAAATGTGCCAATGAACCTGGTGCTCCAGTTCTGGAAGTCTGTCCATTCAACTCTCTCCATCGTGTTTACCCTCATGAATATGCTGCTCACTCTGTTGAATGTCCAGATAATCGTCAAGCGATCCGAGAACTGCTCAATCCAGTTGCAAATCCTGTCAACTCTCAATCTAACAATCAACAATCAGAAATTGTTGATGATGAATGGGAATCCATCACCGATGATAAGTATCTATTGAAAGGGCTCGATGAGAAAGAAGAAGAGGTCGGGGGAAATGCTGCATTTTTACCTCAACATCATTTATACAGAAAGAAACCTGCGGAGAGAAAAAGATTGTACAACCAGCTCACTGAAGACGCGATCAGAAGAAAAGCTCAAGGCGAAAGAGAACAATTAACCGAAGAAGAAGCGTCAGAATTGGGTCTGTCTACCCAAAGAACGGATTACATAATAGACATCGATGGAGAGAGAACAGAAACTTCAGAGGAAGCGACTGAGCCTGAAATCAATTTGAATGCTGGGCCATCGGGACAACAAAGAACGACAGAAACAGACCAAGAGTCAGATGAAAAAGAAGTCAAAATTAAAAAGCAGGATGAAGATGAAGATAACAAGGAAGAGGTTAAACGATTAATTCAAACCACTCAATTGGATTGTTTCAAATCCAGAGAAGTTCGTCGTTAGTTACGATTAAATTTGGCAATATTTTTCATCTTTATCAATTGCTAATCCAATTAATCAGATCAAATTGTAAATTTATTGATCGGATCTCATATTTCCACTTATTTTCCATCTTAATTCTCATTGACAATAAAACGTTTTAAATTCAAAAGAAGCGCCACAAAGTCACGTGACTGTTTCACTTCCTCATGCGAAAGTTTTTCATGTTTATTTTGAAAAGCACATTTTTTGTTTCTGTTTCTCTCTCGCGACTCGTGTTTTACAACAAACACTTAAAAATTAAAAGTTTTCTATTTTTTTGTCAACATTGTTTATCGACGATCCTAAATTATGGGTAAATTTGGTTAGTACTTGATTTCAATGTGTCTACTGATCAATCGTTTGGTCAATTTTATCACTTAAGTTGATTTTTCTGTTTTTAATTAAATTTCCCCCTTTTTTTGTTCATTTCAATTTATTAGAAGGACGTGGTGGTGGTGGAGGCTTCGGTGACCGAGGAGGTTTTGGGGGCCGCGGAGGTGGTCGTGGTCGGGGAGGAGGAGGTCGAGGAAGAGGATTTGGTGATCGAGGTGACCGTGGGGAGGGAGGTGGTGGCTTCGGAGGTAGAGGCCGAGGTGGGGGAGGTCGAGGCTTTGGTGACCGGGGTGGTGGTGGCCGTGGTGGTCGCGGAGGTTTTGGTGACAGGGGAGGTAAATTTGGTAAAAGTCCACGAGGTGGTGGTGGATTCCGAGGGGGAAGAGGTGGAGGAGGCCGTGGTGGCGGCGGCGGTGGAGGCGGAGGCTTCAAAGGTGGAAAGAAAGTAAGTAAAATTCATCATGTTTAGTGCTGTTTTATTCAATTACTTCAATTTTACTTTCCTGTGTAATCAACTTTAGGTCATCATTGAGCCTCATTCAAGAATCCAAGGAGTGTTTGTTGCTCGTGGTAAAGAAGATGCTCTTGTTACCAAAAACTTAGTGCCTGGAAATAGTGTATATGGTGAAAAGCGAATTTCAGCCGAAGAAGTTGACGGAAAAGTAGAGTACAGAATTTGGAATCCATTCAGATCCAAATTAGGAGCTGCAATTTTAGGTGGTGTCGAAAATGTTTTCATGCCTCCCGGATCAAAGGTACTTTACCTTGGTGCCGCCTCTGGAACCACAGTCTCCCATGTCTCTGATATTTTAGGGCCCGAAGGAAAGTGTTATGCTGTTGAATTTTCCCACAGATCAGGAAGAGATTTATTAACTGTTGCCCAGAAAAGGAGCAACATCGTGCCGATCATTGAAGATGCTCGGCACCCACAGAAATATCGAATGGTCATGTCCATGACAGATTGCATTTTCTCCGACGTCGCCCAACCCGATCAAGCGCGAATTGTGGCACTGAACGCACATCACTATTTAAAACCAGGAGGACATGTGGTGATATCGATTAAGGCGAATTGTATAGACTCAACGGCTCCAGCCGAGGCGGTTTTCGCTAACACAGTGAAGCAATTGCAAGAAGAAAACATCAAACCATTGGAACAAATCACTCTAGAACCTTACGAAAAAGACCACGCGGTTGTGGTTGGTGTATATCGACCTAACGAATAACTGACAATTATAATTTGGTTTATTAATACAAATAAGTGTCAACATTTTATTCAATAGAAAATTTAAATCTACTGAGTTTGTTACACGTGATTCTTATTGATTCTGATTGTCATTGATTTCCAATGACAATGATTACAATTAAATCTAATTTACTAACTTAAGTTTCTTATGTCAATAAAATCAATTTGAACCAATATATTTGAAATAGAGTTTATTAGTAACTATTATTTAGAAGCAAATTTGGTAGCAGTTATAACTGAATTGTAGAGTTAACAAGAAACTTAATCGAAATTGAGTTAATCTAATTAATAATTTATATTAATTACAAAAGTTTCGCCATTATTACGATGATGATAAGATAATGAATGAAGATGAAGATGATCAACAGTATGATGCCAACAATGACTCTGAGCAATTTCAGATAATTATAATAACTTTTTTTCATAATAATAAATAAACAAGTTCGGTAGTTGCATTTCCATTGAACAAAAGATGGAGTCACGAACATCACAATTTATCAGAACTTATCATTAATCAGATAAAATTCAAGGCTGGGAATGAATTTTCTTCTCTTGCTCTATCCTAGGAATTAATGGTTTAGCCTTTTCTCTTCATTCTTCTCCTCCTTTATTTCCTTTTCCTCTGCATCGAAAAAGGGATCACCTTCATTTCTCTGGAAAGGAAGACTAAAGTAGATTCAGTTCTTGGATTCTCAGTAAACTGGAAACAATTGATGGAGCTCAGAATGAATAGTAAGAAAGAGGAAGAAAGAGGAAGACAAGATGATGATGAAAACGATGCCTGTAAATAAATAAAAAGAAACAAAGTGATTAGAATATATTTAATGCGAATCGACGAGTTAATCCGAGACGAACATGATCAAAGTTGGTGATCATCTAATCATTTCTTCAACTATTATTATCGTTTCAAATTAATTCAATTAGTGAGCGAAACTAAACCTTAATTGTAATTACGATGAAATTGATTATGTTTTTTGTTACAATAATTAATCACCAATCAAAATTAATTCTCATTTGAAAAGGTACTCAAGAGATTCTCAACTTTTCTCTTTCTACCAAATTAAATACTTGATCTTAATCTTGTAATTTTTAATCACCTCAAGTAATCACCAGTCTAATTAATATTGTCAAATAATGGTTAGTGATTAATGTGTTAATTATTAAGGGTATTCAATAAGTTTATAGTTAATTAAACTTTTATGGTGAAAATTTTTCACCTCTACCAGCAATTAGCCATTGGTGGTTGATTAAATTACTCTGGGATAATAAGATGAGCTAATTAGCCTTAAATTGTGAGAAATTTAATCTAAACATTGAAATTTGCAAGTAACAATTTGCTTCTCACATTTAATTAAACACTTTCAATGAAATGGAATTGATGAAATTTAACGAAAAACAATCAATAAGATTCAATGAAATATTAGTTAAGGTTAAGACCATTAGAATCTTGATTATCATAATTATCCCATCAATTGCCGTGAATCACAATCACAATGATTGTAAGCACAAAAAAAGATCTTAATCTCAATAATATAATTAATCAGCGTTGACTCGACAATTGACAAATGACATTTGATCAACGAAGGAAACAAAATTGATTATCATTGATTATCCATCTGCTTACCCTCATTATTATCACCAGAACTCGAACCATAAACTAAATTAATTTGGTTTGAATCGAAATGGGTTCGATATTTCATCATTAGGGTTAACAAAGTGAGAATTTGTTTCGAAAGTAACCAAAAGGTTCTGATTCATAATCAACAATCAACTAGCGTCCATATTTTATCATTAACTTTCAAATTGTTCTGTTGATGATATGACAGAAATACTCATGGATTGAAATCACAACAATCAGACAAATGAATCAAAATTTATCTCCGTAATTGACTGACCATTACACCTCGTCCACATCCTTCGTATTTACCTGAAAAGGTAATAATTTTTTCCCAATTCTGTTTCATGGCTAATTGAATATACTGGAGGTTCTCGTAACATAATCATCAACATCTAAAGGACTTAATGATTATCTATTACTTTATACACATTTCAACTGAATCTTTTATGAATAAACTCACTCTCTCAAACTGACCCACTTCAAACGTGTAAATAATAAAACATTGAACATTAATACATAAGTGTGATGTTTAAAAGATAATCAGTTGAGTAGAAAAGTGTAGATTCATTTATATCAATCAAACGATTCGTTTTATCATTTTTCAATTTTCTAAACTATTAATATTTCGCTTTCACGATGAGAATCATGTCAGGTTGATTTAACTAAATTCTAGTGTGAAAAGTATAATAACTCAAGATTGTAGAATGTGAATAATATATTTACAATGAGAATGCTAAGAATGAGGATAAGGTGTCATAATATTAAAGGTTAATATCATGATGATGAAACAAATTATTCATGCGAAAATTTCAAGTTATCATTTAGATGAAGATATAGAAAAGTTTATCAACAATCAAGTAACCTTTTCACTTGCCACCTTCAACCTCAATCTACTTTAATCTCTCAGTGATAACTTTTTCTCCTGGTTAAATTTTCTGGTTAATTTTCATTTTCTACAATCACATTTCCAAATACACATAGAGAGAAGTATAATAGATTTAATGAAAAAAATTCGATGCTCAATGAATCAGAATAAGATGAAAATAAGATTGGAATAATCTCCATCTTCTTCCTTCTTATTTTCTTCTTGTCAAAAACTATTTTACTTTTCCCCTGGAAATCCTTTTCTTCTCTTGGATTGATACAATTTTGTTTGGGTTTTTCACCGAGAATTCTGGGTTAGATGTTTTCTTCTCTTTCCATGGTAAATCTACTGAATGTTATCGTAATCTTCAGAGTAGTGAGAGATAAAGAAGAAGAGACTGGAAGATAAGGTATGATGAAATTGAGATTCATTGAAATAGAAGAAGAAAAATTTATTGTTTCAATATGATATTTTTTTTTTCTTCTTTTCCAAAGTTCAGCTAAAGACAGAATTAGTCATGAGAATGAAAAGAAACATTTTTAAAGATGAAAATTCAGGCTCGCTGTTCATCAGAAAATGTGAAACTTATCCGGTTACCATGTTACTTTATTCTTAGGCTGATAATTTTTCTTCCCCTGAAGCTTATCATGCTAATATCATGTACTATTAACAGCTTAACCTATTCAAGGTTCAATGATTAGTCTGAAAGGAAATAGAATAGAAAATGAATCAGTTTCTTTTCAAGTGTTATGAGAAATACAATAATCACTTGCAAGATATCAGATCATCACTTGATATCAGAAATAATATGAAATCAAAGAAAAAAATTCGATGAGATTCTGAAAGGGAAAATGATGGAAAAATTTCTATAAAATTTTCTTTAATGTCTTTTCATCATCGAAGACTTATCACATGTTATCAGAATGTTATTATCATGGTGAAAGTAACGACAATATATCATAACCGATTATCAACTGTCTCAATCAATGAACTTTTTTCATTGGACCAATTCATCAGGCAAACAAGGTGAATCACCAATTCCTTGTAAATCAATCTATTTTTGATTCACAATTTTCAAGAGATAACTAATAAAACGATTCAGAAAGCCATTAAGTGCGATGATAAAATTTCATTGTAGGTGCTACTGACAATCGTCATTAACACCATATTTCATAAATTCAATTGCAGAAATAAGTATGAGAGTCAAGGAGCCACGATTAACAAAAAATCAGTTCAATTCAACGGATAGTCTGAAAATCTCATTGATTTTGACTGCGATGACAAAATCATTATCCTTCTTGTGTCTCACATGAAGAGAGGAGAGTCAATTTCAATTCATTTTTAGTTGAATCCATGGAACTGTTTCCAATGGGCTTAACTCATGACATCCAACTGAATAAATGAGATTGATGAATCTGAACGAAACATATAAACTGAAAAGTGAAGATCCTATTCAATGTAAGAGATACAATAATATTATTTCGCATAGATGCCAATTGATAACAATACCTTTTCCATAGAACTTTCTATTATTACTCCTTTTACAGTCTATGTGCATTACAATATAATCTATTGCAAGTGGAAGTTTCTAACGATATAATATCCACAAGGGGAACAATTAAGGGATTTCCTACTATTCGAATTGAGAAAAATTGAACGAACGAATGATTGTTTTTACTAAACGATCTAAACTTATTCTTGTTGAGTTCATGAAATATAATAAAACCAACATATTAACGATTTGGTTAAAAGTTGTGTCGATATGAAACTTTGGTGAATTTTAAGATTACAACTTTTATCATTAGGATTATTTCATAATCTTCTCCATCAGAAGTTGACCTACTTAGATCAATATCATATATTCATAATCGAATAAAAGTTTCATCTCCATTATCGTATTTTATTTATCTTTATTGATAAGAGGGAAAAGAAATATCTATCTGAAGGTAGATCACTAGTACTTCAAGTAATGTTCAATAGTAACTGTCTGAGAAAGACTATCATGCTAATAAGATGATAATGTTGATGATAGTCCAGATAAACTTCATGGCGTTTTGATGAAAATTGACTAGATTATTATAAACTTTAATGTAACAGATCCAATGAGTTTTCAAAATACGAAAAAATCAAGGAATTATTAATATTTTCTCTGTAAATTTGCCATATTCGTAAAGTTATTACCTGGAAAACATATTTCATGAGGAACAACCAATTAAATTCAATATTCAGGAATAAGAAACATTTCATCAATCCATTCCAATTAACTTGATTATTTTGCTATTTATAAGCGATCAATTTTGCTTTTCTTATTCTCATTGCTCTTGATGAATATTTACTCTGAAAAATGGTACATCTTAATTAAATTATTTCCATGAGCAGATCAACGATAACGATGGTCAAGATAAAAGAGTAGCCTTCATGTAAGGTAAAACTCTGGACACACAATTTGCCAGAATTGAAAGTATGGGCTGATTATGAGATGACATTTAAATTGATTGATGGAAACATATTAATGACCCTCAACTGATACATCAAATCAGAATCAACAACGATAATGATTGATTCATTTAGAAATGAACACAATCAATGAAAAAAGTTCACAATGGCTAAGCAGTCATTAAATTATCCTCTTTAGCATGAATGAAATTCTGGGTTAAATTTTTACGTTCTCAATGAAATGATTGATTGATTAACTTGTCAGTTTGCTAAAATTTCAAATTCATTGGCGAATCAACTTTTGATCAACCTTAATTAGAGTTTAACTGATAAATTCATCAACCCTCAGATTAATTATCTAATGAGATTAATTTGATTGTTAAATAGGTGATAATCATTGGTTATGCAAACTAAGCAAAAAATACAAAAAATGATTTCATTATGATTTCAATTAACCTCAATTGAATTTAGAGTTGTTAATAATCACTTTCAATTATGATTTTAATGTGCAATTAACTCCTATTCATATGATGATAAATTTGACAGTTTCTTTCACAATTTTGATGACAATATGTTTTACTTACATTAGTTTTCGTCAGAGATTCAAATTTGGACTGAGAACTTTATTTCCGTTTCCTTTTCCAACCTTCTAATGGCAGTAATTACATTTGGGATGACATTTTTGTCCATTTATCATACATTTACAGCCTCCAGAAATATCACCTTTCCCCTGATGCGAGAAAAAAATGAAAATTTATTAATAACAATTGAAAAACTGATTAACCTGAAAAACAATCAAATGTTAACATTTGATTATATAGCAAATTTGTTCAGTGCTCGATGAGAGATTGAGTTTCTGATATTGTGATCAATGAGCTATCACATTTTGAGACATTTCCTGTGCTTCATAATCTCTCAGTTAATTCAGTTTAATTTTTGTTGAGGTGAATTTGCTTCTCATGAAATTTCATGAGAGAAAAAGAGATTTCCATGAAATAGAAGAGAGTGAAACGATATGATAGAAAGATGAAACATCCAAAGATAAATAGCATGAGAATAAAATGATTATCATGTTAAGCTGGATTAAATTAACTCCCTGTTAAGATACTGGGAGAGAGAAGAAAAATTCATGGAGCATTTCATCAGAATCAGTGTTAACGAATGTTATTGGTCCCCAAGATTAAAGCTACACTTTTGTACAAGTGATGGTTCACTCTTTTGACATTAAGCTCAATCAAGTTGATCATAATCATGCTGATAATCAATAGGAAATCGTTATTGTCAATTTTATGTCGACCAAATCAAGTATAAAATTACAACCAGTAAACCACATCATGAGAATAAACATTTACTCCGAATCATTTAAAAGATTTACTTTAATCAATGAAACTGATCAACAATCGAGATTTTTTATTCCACCAATTTCAGCAAAACATACATGATAAACAATCTAATTGGAAATAAATTACCTCACATCGAATTGATTCTCGAGCAAATTAATTTAAGAAAAGTTGCTTTTTGAAACTTTGCAGCTCCTTAATAAACATCAGAATCATATAAATAATTCATCATAATCAGGTTAATCTTTTTCTGGATATTATCACAGGAAAATGATAATGGATAAATTATTAAATTGGAAGTGACAAAAATATACATTTCATTTGATAAAAGATAAATGTCTCCTCATGATAAACAACTGATTCTGAAAAAGTGATTTCATTAAATCATCTGATTTGCTGTTATAAAAATCCAACAGTTATAATTGAAATGGACAATGTTACACTGACCATAAACATTTATCTGATTGTGTTTCAATGTTTAGACTTTTCCAAGATCAACTAATTGAATAAAATCATAATGTATAAAACTATTAGATATAAATTGAGATACAAACAATGATCACAATCATTATCAGAATTATTCTGAAAAAACTCTTGAAGAAATAAAAGAAGCAAAAAAATGAATTTTTTTCGGTCAGATTTCTCAGATTGATTGAGATAATGATGAGAAGTGACATTATGCCAACAGCATTAAATTGAATATTTAGCATTTGTACTGCAAATGATTGACACTCTCAGCATCTTAGTTAATATTGCAACAATCGAGTTCATCATGGACCAATTTGTACAGTTTATCGTTGAATTGTTATGGAAAATAACATTCACCTTGAAAAGCTGTAATAATAAAAGTTGAGTTTTTTTGGTGATATTACATGATAAATGACATTTCAAGGATTGGGAGTGAAAAGTTAAATATAAATTGTTACAATCAATTGATTGTCATAAACAAAAAACACCTAAAAATTAACCAATCTATTTTCTAACATTATTAATAATAATAAACTATTTGGGTGTTTTCATGACTGTTATTTGTCCCTACGAAATTCACTCCACAATCTTTTCCTCCCTTAGAACTAACAAATTCATAATCAACTGTAATAATTCAATTTAATTTATCTCCAAGTTCCGAAAGCATGGTGATGATGGTATTATAAATCAATGAAAAGCTTATAACCATTTAGTTTAATTGCTGTTTAACCTGAACATTTGTTGCTTAATTAATCTTGACGATTTTCAATATAAAAAGATTCACTTTGATGAATTATTGGAAATTTAAATGATACCAATATATCATCATGGTTATGTAATTTTCAATGAAAACAAAAAGCCTAACAGTTGATGAATTGAAACTATTAACTGTTGTTCAATCATAACCATTGCAAGTGAATAATAGGTTGATACAAATGTTCATTTTCGTAAAAGATTCAACTGATTTGTGTGAAACAGTTCATGTTGGTAATCGAGATTCACAATAAATTAATTTTATATTGTCCAGTTTCATCATGATACAAATTTTTCGAACAGAGCTCAATTTGAAAAAGTTTTCCTTTCCATTTATTTTATTTCTGTAGTTCCATATTAATATCATGTGAGGCGAAAATTGAATCCAATTTGAAAAGAGTTTAGGAATTTGGACTGAGTGAAACGCTATAAAGAAATGGAAAACGGTGACAGTGCAATTTTATCAATTCGATAGAATTTTATCTAAACTTGAGAATTTCAAATGAATATAAACTCGAAAACATCGAATGAAATTTTTTGAGAAGATGAAACGAGTTTCATGACAAAAAGGTTCGATTAATTTATTCAGTTCAGTTTATTCTTGCAATTGTTACCATAATAACAAGAAGATAACAATATTTATCAGATTATAAGTATAATAACCTGAGGAATTAGTAATTACCATTTCTAATAAAGCTTTTGAGGATAATAAGAGCTTTTCGTGAAGTAGAAAACAAAATTTAATCCAAAAAAGTTCACAAACGAAAGAAATTCGATTCTCTTAAAAAATAAGTTCTGACAAGTAAGAACATGAAAAATTCAATATCACGATGATTACTGTGTGTCCTTATGGAGGGAGAAGGAGCTTTACTTGACAAGGAATTTCAATAAAAAGTTAAAAATCTATCAGAACTTATCCCTCTCTTATGAACTTTCCTTGAAAAATGGACATGATAAGAATGTCAATGGCTGGAGATTATTTTCTGAAACCTTTGATACTGAAACGTAAAGATACTTTCAAGAATCATCTTCATGGTAATGCTCAGACAGAGGTTGTTGTCAGGATGTTGTCACAAGTAATGAAATTGAAAATAAACAAGTTGAAAATGTTTACAAGAAAACGATGAACATTTGGAGTGATGATGATACAATTTACTGAATCACAATTAGAACCACCTTTTGATGAATGAAGTTTTTTAATACTCACTTGAGGCTACACAATGACACATGAATTCATATTCATGCTAAGTTAATCATCAACTCTCATGATGATAACAATCAGCGTTGAATAGACATGATGATGAAAAAATCACTAGATGATCTTGAATTAATTATCTGTTAATAACCATGAACATGTCAGAGTGAAACCAGTTTTTTATAACAGAGCTACGATTTTGACAAGATATTTGATATTTACTTTGTCAAGATATTTATCTTCTTGTAATGGTCAGTTTTCCCTTTTTCATCAATTATAATTCTCACACTTATTATCATGGAATCTGATATGAGGTAAGAGTCAATTATGGACTTATCAAAGTTTCTCAGCTTCTAAATCACTTCAAATTTATTCTGCCATAACAAACACTCGTTAATGATTAACAGTCTAATCTTATACATTTCTTTAAACTAATTCAATATACATAATGTACTATTCTCACTATTATTGTGGTAAATTGTTCATTGATAAAGAAAGTTCAGTAAGTGGTTAATTGTTCAGTTAATTTTTAACCATTCAAATTCATGCCCGAGTAAATGCAAAAGTAGCTTGGACAAAAAAAATGTGTCCACAAGAAAGGTACTTCACACATCAAATGTGTCTGATTTGAGTTTCAAAGATATATCAACCATCGAGTCGAAAATTTGGAAATTTTCTTTATAATAAATCGCCGATGTATCATAACATCTATAAAAAATTACGTAGCTCATTAGAACAATTGTGATTTGGAAACGTTATAGCGAGATTAATTTACTTTTGGATTGTCCAATTTTAGCTTATATAGAATATATCGGTAATATATGAAAAATATTGATTCGATTTGGATTTTTTGATACTTGAACGATATTGAATTTTATTTTTTTAAATTTCTTTGGTTATTATTTCATTGTTTGAGATCATTTTAAATTGTTTGAGAAATTTGTGATTTGGGTATTGCTGAAACTTTGGTATTGAGAATAGTATTTGTACGATATGGAATGGATATTGAATATTTTTGATTAGTAATTTGAATTTATAAAATTTAGAAAATGTTAATGATATAAAAATCTTGATTATTCGGTATATCGCCGATATAGAATGAACATGAAGATTGCTTATTTGCTCTTTTTCGAGTTCCGGGTTAATCGTTCAGTAGCTTCTTGGGTTGGCTTCTTTCCAGTCTTCTTTTTGGCAACTTTCTGAACTGGTTGATCGACCGCTTCTGTTTCAATTGTAGTCGCTTGAACGATACTTGCGACTGAATCAACCGAATTATCACCTTCTGCTTCTTCAGCTTCCCGCTCTATCGCCGACACATCGCCAAAAGTTGGATCTATGTCCGAGTCTAGCATAGAATCTAATGTTATTGCTTCTTCATCGACAATAGGAACCTTAGATGTAGAGGCGATATTCGAAACATCTCGATTACGAAATGATCTCACATAAGAGGCATACTTGGTGTTTAAGGCAGCATATTTTTCAAACAAGTCTACGATATTAGCTTTTTTTGTATAGACCTGCATCCAAAATGGTGGACCTTCCAAAACATTTTCAACACTATTTCTTGGATAGAAAATTGGAAACGTTTGATATTTCTCCCGTATATCCATTTCGGCTTTGGTATGTTTAGTTTTCTCACGGTTATAAGCTAGAAAATCTCTTATAATTTTCTGCGATTCTGATTCACGTTGAGCTTTGAGACCTCTTTGAATTTCTTCATCCATCTCGGACTCTTTACATATCGCCCATATATCACTGGCCATATCGAAAACACTCTGCATTTTTCGTGTATCCAACTTTTTAAGGCTTTTCTTTTCCTTTCCTCCTTTGGATACACCAGTCATTGAAGTGTTTTCTAGTTCATGATGAGTAAAACAAAGGTAGGCAGCATTTCGAAAGAACTCCAAATATGTCCGACATTCGCGAGCTGTATTAACTATCAGACGAAAATCTATCGGCCACATATTATCAACC